TGGTTTACATCGTGCACTTGATACGCGTACTAAATAGTAACTTTCTATTAGATAATCTTAATATCGACGATATATATAAACAACGGTATATTAAGTTGGTATAATATTCATCAACAAAACGTATTGTATTAATAGAATGCGTCGCTGTTGATATGCATTGTCGATATTAAGATTATCTAATAGAAAGTTACTACTTAATACGCGTATCAAATGCACGATGTAAACCAGGCCACTGTGTTACACAAAACCAGCTTATTGGTTGCATATTATCTTACAAGATATTTTAGATAATATGTAACCAATAAACTGATTTTGTGTACGTGTATGTCAAGATGTATTAAGCAATTGGAAAGCACCTAAACTGATTGGTCAATGGCCTGGTTTACATCGTGCATTTGATACGCGTACTAAATAGTAACTTTCTATTAGATAATCTTAATATTGACAATGCATATCAACGGCGACACGTTCAATCAATACAATACATTTTCTTGATGAGTATTATACCAGCTTAATATACTGTTGTTTATATATATCGTCGATATTAAGATTATCTAGTGCCAATTCTTAAGACCTCCACACACAAATTGACATAACAGTAATGTAAGACGTACCGTAAAAATTGACCAATTACGAACGAGTATTCATCAAAATGGCGACCTTACGGTTGACGATTCTCAACATGATTGGTCAATTCTTACGATATGTCTTACGTTACTGTTATGTCAATTTGTGTGTGGAGGTCCTTACGGTACGTCTTACGTTACTGTTATGTCAATTCGTGTGCGGCGCCCCTAATCCGTAAATTTAACATGTTACGAATGTCTTGTACGGAGACTCTTTGGCAAGCATTACCGCGTCCGCAGGAGCCATAAAGCTGATGGCTCATAGAAAAACTTAAAGATACCAATACATGGGAACGTTCCAGCGTCGAGCGTTAAAGCGTTAGCCAATCAACGTATCAGGTTCCAGAAGTATACTTGTAGTTCTTGCGAAAAGTGGTACGTTGATTGGCTATCGCTTTAACGCTCGACACTCGATGCTCCCATGTAAAGGGACGCACCGTAAGCGCATCAGCCAATCACAGTCATTGATTCTTGGACCGTAAGAAGAATCAACGACTATGATTGGTCAGTTTGCTTACTGCTTACGTCTAATGGCTCTCGCAGACCAGTGCGATGCGCGATGTGACACACGATATGCGACGAGCGATATCCAATGAGCGTATTGGTATTCCGGAAAAGCTGTACGCTCATTGGATATCGCGCATCGCATATCGCGTGTCGCGTCGCAAATCGCGCTGGCTGCGAGAGCCATTACTGCTTAAGTTTTTCTGTGTGCTACGGCCCTTAACACTCAGTGCCGTACTTTACGTTTAAAGTACTTTAGCACATAACATTTTCATTTGAAACAGATTTGAATCGTCCTGAAACTGTGATGAAATCAACTTTTCATGTACACATATTCGATTGAAGATATGACTGGATACAAAAATTAAAAAAACTTAATATGTTATTATAAAATAATAATTCTATCTCTTTATGAATACAAGGAAAATTTTGTGCAATTTCTATCGAAAACTTTTTTTTATTCAAGTTCTTTATAGAACATAAAATAAATCTTTTTATAAGATTATATGTTGATATGCAGAGAGCTAATTGTTTGAAGCATTTTAAGCACCAGGGCACATATAATGCAATTCAGTGCCCATGTCTCTATATTGTTATATACTTGATTCTCGTTTCGTCCTCATTGAGGTAGACGATTCGCCGAATAAGATAAGTCGCTGTCGAAACATTCTTATCGGAAACATTGTCACAGTTGAAAAAAATGACGCTAAACATACTGAAGTGCCGTGTTGCTAGCCGCGGCTTGCGTCAATTGAAAGAGTTGTCAATTTGTTCAACACTAAAATTATACCTGTCTACTTCAACAGTTACGATGAATAGTAAGGTATAAATTTCCTGACATTTTTCACAGGCACATCTGGATTTTACATAATCGACTGATATTTTTAGTTAAACTGCCTGTATGACATTATGAAACAATATAACAAATTCGTATAATTATATTATTCAAAATTTCTGATAAATACTCGTTAATTTTGTTAACAAAATGCAAATACAAAAGTTACTCGTTAATCAAAATTACATCTGATAAAAATATAAAAAAATTGAAAAATATTTACAAATATATTAATAAGTATTTGATAAATATAAATATTAGAATTGTGTTAATACATATGTAATATATTAATCATTAGAATAAGCATCAGTGACTAAAGATTGTTAAACGGTTTCTATATCAATAATTTACGTATTCGTATTGAATCTTAAATGAGCATATCTGGTAGTATGTGTTTACATTCAAGTGTTACCCACACATCTTATCACACAAGACCTTAACATTCCGACTTTTAGAGTCTTTCCTACTAACATACTACCAGTTATACTCAGTATCTTGCACAATCCTAATAATGGTATGTGATTTTATTTTTCGCATGTATAACCATGATATTATTAATTTTATATTAACATACACACTATATTTTATATTAGTACTATATTTATACCAATGTTATTAATATAAAAATGATTATATTGAATAACATATTGTATATGTAGGAGTATGGTGGAGATAAAGGTTACAGAGTAGAAAGAGATACGTTTGGAGAACTGAAAGTTCCAAGTGATAAGTATTATGGTGCCCAAACTCTCCGATCAGTGATGAATTTTCCAATTGGTGATACATCTGAGCGTATGCCTGTAAGAAATAATGGTACCTTAAATTTACCTTGTATACTTGCTTTATTTATCACATCCAATCTAACCAATGCAGATTATTTTTACAGTATGGTGTGATAGTTGCTATGGGTATTTTAAAGAAAGCTGCTGCAGAAGTAAACAAAGAATATGGTTTGGATCCTAAAATTGCTGATGCCATTAGCAAAGCTGCAGATGATGTAATAAGTGGAAAGTTATATAATGATCACTTTCCCTTAGTTATCTGGCAAACTGGATCTGGCACACAAACCAACATGAATACCAATGAGGTTATTGCCCATATCGATTTCAACATCATAGTAAACTATGAAATTATAATAATTATTGCGATAACATAATGTACTAAAAATACTCAGGTTATTTCCAATCGTGCGATCGAGATACTTGGTGGTGAACTCGGCTCAAAGAAACCTGTGCATCCAAACGATCATGTTAATATGTCACAGAGTAGCAATGATACCTTTCCAACAGCTATGCATATAGCTGTGGCCTTGGAAATCAATAAAATATTACTTCCAGGCTTGGAACAATTGCACAAAGCATTAAAGGAAAAGTCAGAAAAATGGAAAGATATAATAAAAATTGGCAGAACGCATACACAAGACGCAGTCCCACTGACCTTAGGTCAAGAATTTTCAGGTTTGTATCTGCAAAGTTATTGTATGTTTACTTATTTTATGTTTGCTGTTAAAGTTCGCACGCAACGTGCATTAAAATATTATATTTCTTCGCTTAGGATATACTATGCAGATCGAAAACGGCATTAAGAGAGTGAAAGATACGTTACCGAGACTGTATCAATTGGCTCTTGGTGGTACAGCAGTCGGAACTGGATTGAATACGCGAAAAGGCTTCGCGGAAAAAGCAGCTGCGAAAATCGCTGAATTCACTCGCTTACCATTTGTTACCGCACCGAATAAATTCGAAGCTCTGGCTGCGCACGATGCGATGGTGGAAGTACACGGCGCTCTTAATACAGTGGCCGTTTCTGTCATGAAGGTGCAAACTTACGTATAACAATCATTACAGAAATGCATTCTTTATTTGATCGTCATTTATATTTTTTAATTTGTTTATATTTTGTATCTATATTTTTACTTATAATCTGCATAGGTCGCAAATGATATTCGGTTCCTTGGAAGTGGACCGAGATGCGGTTTAGGAGAATTGTCTCTTCCGGAAAATGAGCCTGGAAGTTCTATAATGCCTGGAAAGGTGAATCCTACGCAGTGCGAAGCGATCACTATGGTGTGCAGTCAAGTGATGGGCAATCACGTAGCAGTGTCCGTTGGTGGCAGCAATGGTCACTTTGAGCTGAATGTTTTCAAGCCAGTTATAGTTGCCAATACTTTGAGATCCGCAAGGCTGTTAGGTGACGCCTGCAGCGCGTTCACAAAGAATTGTGTCGTAGGCATTGAGCCGAATATTGAGAATATAAAGAAGATAATGAACGAGAGCTTAATGCTCGTTACAGCATTGAATCCGCATATTGGCTACGACAAGGTATCGTGTGATGTTTTTTTAGAATATTAATGTAGGAGATATTGTGTGTGTGAGAGACAGCATTGCAAGAATATACACACTTTTCAAAACAATCGTTTCACAGGCCGCAGCAATCGCTAAGCAAGCGCACAAAGAAAATCTCACATTAAAACAATCTGCGCTGAAAAATGGAATGACAGAGGAACAATTTGATCAATGGGTCAGACCTGAACAAATGCTTGGTCCGAAATAATCTGCATGTTAAGAAAGATGTTCAAAGTCAGTGTTGAGAGTGTTAAATGTTCCGTAAAGCGCTTGGTTTGTACTTATTGCTATCACTATCCGATTTGAGTATTTTTTTTTTTAATTAAAACTGTTAATTTTCTCTTTAAATTTTTAGAATAATTACTCTCGTCCTCGGGTACCTACAAGGATGATTGCACTCAATTGCATGTAACGGATGGTTCTATAACGTGTTACTTAATTCTCTTTTTCAGGGCTTTAATTTGTAAATATAATATAAATCAAGAAAGATTAGAATATTTATTTTTTTACACTTCTAATCTGACCAAATAATTACATTGATCGTCAAATCTACTAAATACTGAAATATTACTATACAACAAATCCATCATATATATATATATATATATATATATATATATATATATATATATATATAT